GTACAAGTTCCCTGTAGATTTTTGAAATACAGTATTAGAAGACCCTAAAGGTATCCACCACTATTTTGTTCTGGGAGCATGCAAACTCTAGGTTGGGAACCACCAGCCAAAATAACCTCTGACGAAGGAAAATTTCAGGAGTGCCATGTGTGATGGTTGAACAATATGAAGGACGTAGTTAGGTCACTGAACTAACGATACACGTGAAGACTGATAAAATGGCAAATGTTTTGTTACATATGTATTACCACAAAACAAGTTACCTAGAAAAAAAATAATTTATGGTATGGTCAAATTCTGGGGTCTCACGGTTGCTGCGGACCCTTCACTCTAATGCTCATACATTGTAGAGGGTAAGATTTTCTCCCAGCAATTGTAGGGCTCCTGGAACACAAAACAAGCCACGGAGAAAACAGTACGGGTCAGAGTTACAGAATTCCTCTTGGTTGAATTTGACACAGACTGACTTTATCTTACTCTCCTTCGGGGTGTGAGGTCCTTTCTGGTGGGCCCAGATCCCATCCAGGCTCTAGGTCCTGTCTGCAAGCTCTGTTGGACCACAGCTGAAGGCCTTTGGCTCTTTTTCCCTTCCTACCTGATTCCAGGCTGGACCAGGTACTAGACAGATTCCAGCCTTTGATTCACAACCTGGATTCCTTCTGCCCCTTCTAGTGGTCTTTCCTCACTGCTGCTCCCCACAGTCTCCCACAGTTCTTGCTCTTGGCCTAGTTCATCTCCTCCTCTTGACCCCAAACTTTCCCCATTATTCTTCTTGCCCTTTTCCAGAACCTCCCAGAATGTTAAGGCTGGGAGGGATATTTTTAATCTAAGTCCATAACTCATCATGTTCGGATTCCCTCTACCACGTTATTAACCTGTGGCTCTCCAGTATCACAAACCACAGGATGCCACTATCTTACTAGACAACTGAGCTCTTCTTAGGCTGCTTCCAGGTTGCTATCAGTCCTTTCCTAGAGACATTTGCTGCTAATTAATTCCTGGACATAATCAAATGATCAAGTCAGAAAGCCATCTGCAGCCAGACATGGGTGGACTCTGGCCTGACAGGGCTTCTCAAACTTCCCTACCAGTGGGGGGGGGGGAGGGGAGAAGAGTAGATATGTACTCTTTTCTTTCAAATCTCTCTTTATTTTTTTCCCCAAGTCTCTTAATTTGGCTTCAAATCCCATGCCATTTTGCATTTACTCCATAATAGGTCTATGTTTATTTACCTATGTGAATAAAGTCAGGTAACACTGGCTCTCTGGGAAGATGCCCACGCATGACATCTGGTACCTGTGGGGGTTATGATTATGTCAGTTTAAGAAACATGATCGTAAAGCGAGGAGGATTACTTATCAGTCCTGTTCCCCTTCCCTACAAAGCAGGGGTTAGTAGGACAGAATGGGAGAGTGGGAGATCTTTCTAAGTTCTAAACTAAGATAACATTAAATGGACGCTCATGAGAAGGGACTGATGGTACCCACTGGATAGAGTGGAAAAGTGAGGCTTTGGAATAATTATTTCAGCCAGATCACACACTGTTCACTAGGATTTGAACGTAGGTGTCTCTGACTCCAGGACCTGTGGTCTGATTCTTGCTAACCAGGAACCTTCATTGCTCCCCAGCCTCACCTGCAAAAATGGCCTGGAGGTGGCATCTGACCTCCTCTAACTTCACAAGGGGGAAAGAGGATAAAGATCAACAGCCCAAGGCTGATTCCTATGAGGAGGAGGTCAGATGTGCTTCCACCCTTCAATCTTTTTACCAGTTCGAACACCAATTGTCCCTCCATGGCACTTTCCACTTCTCTGCTGGGTTTGATAATTTGCAGCAAGGGCCACACAGAACTCACAGACAATAATCATAATTAGAAGGTTTATTAGAGAAGTAACAGGTTATAATTCAGGATCAGAAACAACTCAGGATTCAGTTCTTTGATCAGGACAGCCTCTTCTCAGCTGTGCCACAAGCAGTCCTCGTTCTGGTCCTTGGTCTCTCGGCCCTGCCGCCTCTAGGCCTTTCCTTGCTTGGGCAAATATTACAAAGCTCTTTTAGCTCTGCTGGTAACTGCTCAGAGGCACCCCACTCTGCCAGTAAGCCTCCTGCCTGAAGGCACACAGCTTCCTTGCTCTGTGGGTCAGCAAGCCTAGCTCCATAGCTAAGTGCCTAGAGGCACCTCACTCCATCAGCAAGCCTCTTGCTGAAGGCACTCAGCTTCCTTGATCTGTGGGCCGGGAAGTATACTGCACTGTCTCCTGCTAGGTCTCTTGCTGGGTGTGCTACTGCCAATCTCTGCTGCTGCTTCTAGTCGTCTCTTGCTGTCTCTCGCCTTCTAAGCAAAGTGTTACAGCTCACTCTCTCTCTCCTGGATTGAGGAGGTTCGATGCAAAGATCTCCAGTCCATGGACATGCTCTACCCCTGCTCTTCTTTCTTGATGTTAGTGAGGTTCCCCTCTTCCTGTCTCTGGGATAGCTCATTTTAAGCCTAGCAGGATGGCAAAACTGACCAATCCCCATGTTAGGATTCCATACACCTTATTTGCATGGTCCCCTTGGTGAGCCACACATTTGCATAGTCCTACCCAGTCATTTGGTAAGAGTTACAAAAGAAATTCACTGTACCACACCATCTAACCCAGCATGGGCCTTGGCTTATTTATCTAAAACCAGAGGTTAGATCTGGTTGTGTCTAAGACTTTTGTAGATAAATGAATTGGTGCATTAGCCCTTCTCATACCAGCAATTGTTTCTGGGTGCCAGGACATTCAGACAAATAAAGCACAGCTTCTGCCTGTGATGAACGCTGAGTTGGGGGTAGTAGGAGGTGGTGGGATTGACACATAAATCAGTAATTGTTCTGGTTACCTAGTGTCACTCTGACAAGAAATATACCACAAATAAGATGGTCTTAACAAACAGGAGTTTAGTCTCATAATTTGGAGGCTTTAAGTCCACGTTCCAAGTGCCAGGATCTAAGGGCTGGGTGAAAGCCCCTTAACCTTGGGGTCCAGCTCTGCCTCCTGCTTCTGGCCCACTAGAGCTAGAGGCATTTCCTCACTCAGACAGCTGCTGGCTGCTGAGGCTGAGAAGCCCCAAGGTTGACAAATAAAAAGGTACAGTCCTGATGTTACCAAACCACACGACTGGCCATTATCTTAAGTCCATTGTATGTCCCAAGGCCAGCAGAGCATACAGGCTGCTGAGCAATGACACAGCTACATGCAGGGTCCAAGCGTGCCATAGGCTAGAGACCATTCCCAAGGCTTCTCCTTATATACAGGAAGAAGACCATATCCCAAAGGCAGCTACTCAGCTGCTTGTGGTAGATCCCACCATGGAGTTGATTGCCAGTCTCATCATGGGGAATAACTACCACCAGCTGTCCAGCCACTCAACCAGGCCCAGCCAAGTTGACACACAAACATAACTACCACAGTAATCATGGCACCCAGTGCTGAAATGGATGATTGTGGCCTGAATAGAATGTTGTAAGAACCAGGGATGGAAGGGGAGCAAAGATTACTGGGAAGGCTTCATAGATGAGGCCATATTTGAACTGGGCCTTGAAGGTTGAGTTAGAGTTCAGCACATGAAAGAATAAGAGGGGGAATCATATATGCAAAGCTATGGAGTAAGAAAATAGCATTGGGCGGTTAGGAAAGGCAACAGTGGCTCAGACACAGGGTGTGTTTGTGTGTTTGTGTGTGTATGGCAGAATAGACTGGGGAGGTGGATTGGTCTTGATATTAAAAGGTCCTGAATGTCATGGTAAATTAGACACTGTCTGAAGACTAATGCTTTCCATAATGAACTCTGGGGGCCTAGTGCCTAATGCACTTGACTGCTAACCAGAAGGCTGGCAGTTCAAACCCACCAGCCACTCCTCAGAAGGAAGACTGGGCAATCTACTCCCGTAGTGGTATTGCCTCAGAAACCCAAGGAGGGGTCGCTATAAGTCAGATCTGACTCAAAGGCAATGGGTTTGGTTTTTGGTTTTGAAATGCTTTCCATAAGGAGCTCTGGTGGCATAGTGGATAAGGCATTTGGCTGCTAACCAGAAGGTCAGCAGTTCATAACCCACCAGCTGCTCTGCAGAAGGAAGATGGGGTAATCTACTTCAGTAAAGATTTACAACCTTGGAAGTCCAATGGGGGTCGGTATGTGTCGGAATCGACTTGATGACAATGGGTTTAGGATTCCTTGGAAATGTTTTCCGTACAATTCTGAGGAGCAGCCCCAGGGAAGGAGGTACCTCAGGGTCTCCTGAGGGCTTCACAATGAGGCCCATTCTGCTTCAAGCAGAACAACTCCATTTTCAAGTCCTTTTTTTTATGGAATTCTGCCTGATTTCATCTGACCAAAAGGTAATACTCCTAAGACCAAAAAGCTAGGGCCGACAAGGCCACGGCAGGGTTTATACTGGAGAGAGGTAAGACCTTGTTGGAAGAAGCCCTCTGAAGGAGGCTTTGTGTATGGGGAAGGGGGAAGCCCTAATATCTGACCTTTGGGGATAGAGTCTCTTACCCAGCTTCCTAGGCTGGAGAAGGATTGTAATTAAGAGGTGTGGCATGCCCTCTCTGGTAGGGGAGGATCTGATCAAGATATAGATCTCCCCCAGGGCTTGGGTAAGTATGTGTGTATGATCTCTGGGAGTCCCCCAAAATGGGGTACTGGCAGAGGGAGAGGGAGGGGGAGAGGCAGGAAGTGGGCAACTAAACTAAGAAAGGTGCCCTTGGCGGTTTGCCCATCCCAGGTGGGAGGGTGGGGCCTAGGGCCTTATGTGACTTTATTTGTGGCCCTGGGCTCAGTGCAAGCACCAGTTAGGAGTTAGGACCCACCAAGTCCGATTTCCTGTTGCTGGTGAATGGGGGGGGGGGGGCGCTGACAACCTCATGTACTTTTAGAAATTTCCAGGACAAGGCTGCAGGATGTCTGATATTGGGGCACAGGTGTTGGGGGGCGGGAAATACCTTCAACCCCCTTTCCATTTCCCTAGGGATCATGGGCTGTAGCTGCAGCTCAAATCCAGAAGATGACTGGATGGAAAACATCGATGTGTGTGAGCACTGCCATTACCCAATAGTCCCACTGGATGGCAAAGCCAAGGTAAGAGGCCAGACAAGGGACTCGGTGAGGAAATCTTGTAGAGTGCAGGGCCCAGGGACACTCAGGAGAAATTAATAGACCAATACCATGTTGTTGTTGTTGTTATGTGCCATCGATTTGGCCCCAACTCATAGTGACTCCTCCTTGGGTTTCCCAGGCGGTATCACTACAGAAGTAGATTGCCCCGTCTTCCTTCCAAGGAGTGGCTGGTGGGTTTGAACCGCCAGCCTTCTGGTTAGCAATCAAGTGCCTTAGGGATTACGCCACAGAGCTCCTATAGACCCATAACATAGGTCCTTGAAATACCAGAGTTGACTCTCTCCCGTGGTATACAGAGGAGAGGCCCAGAGAGGGGAAGGGACTCTCCTAAAGTCACACAGCAAGTAGTTGACAAAGTAGTGATAAGACTCAGCTTCCTGCTTTCTAACCCTACCTCCATCCCTCACCCCACAGCTGCCCATCAGGAATGGCTCTGAGGTGCGGGACCCACTGGTCACCTACGAGGGCTCTCTCCCACCGGCCTCACCACTGCAAGGTGACCCCAACCAGCAGGGCCTGGAAAATGAAGCCTGTGGACTTTTGTCTATCCTCCATCTCCTGTGCACCCTCTACCCTATACTACACCCCTGCCTCCAGTCCTGTCTCCTACCTCCATGCTCCCAGCCTACCCCAGGTCCGCTCTCCTGACGCACCCTATCTTTGCAGACAACCTGGTTATTGCCCTGTACAGCTATGAGCCCTCTCATGATGGGGACCTGGGCTTCGAGAAGGATGAACAGCTCCGCATCTTGGAGCAGTTGAGTGGCGGGACCTGTGAGGGAAGAGGGGGAGCTTCTGGGCTAAGACTCCCATTTCTGGAGTTACCTGGTACCTCCAATCAAACCCTGCGACCCTGACTGGTTTGGGGCAGGCGCCCTTGGAACAAATGGGAGGCTTTAGAATGCTGAACTGGGGGACGGTAAAGCTGGTGGAACTGAGACTCAAAGGGAGGGGTTCCTGCTGAGTCCAGGGCTGAGCATGCTGCGCTAACCACTGCTTTCGCGCAGGAGTGGCGAGTGGTGGAAAGCGCAGTCTTTAACCACGGGTCAGGAAGGTTTCATCCCTTTCAACTTCGTGGCCAAAGCAAACAGCCTGGAGCCCGAACCGTGAGTGGGGACCCGTCGTGGGGATGGGCGGGAACACATTCAGGGACCCCAGAGCAGGGGAGGGTGCTGGTGAATGTTTGACCGGGATGGAAGAACGGACCTATAGACCGCGGCTTATGCCCTGCCCAGCTGGTTCTTCAAGAACCTGAGCCGCAAGGACGCGGAGCGACGACTGCTGGCGCCGGGGAACACGCACGGTTCCTTCCTGATCCGGGAGAGCGAGAGCACCGCTGGTGAGTGGCTGGAGAGGACTCGGTGGGCGGGGCCTCAGGCTGGGCGGGCCCTCATTGGGTGGGGCCTCAGGCAGTTGAGGACGTAAGCTGAGGTGTGGCGGGACCGTGCTTTCCCCGAGAACGAGAGCACAAGGGTGTGTGGCGGGCTTAGCTTGCAGATGGTGACCCCGCCTTCTTTTGCGTTCGTTCGTTGGTTCATTCATCCATTCATTCAGGATCGTTTTCACTATCGGTCCGGGACTTCGACCAGGACCAGGGAGAAGTGGTGAAACATTACAAGATCCGTAATCTGGACAACGGCGGCTACTATATCTCCCCCCGCATCACTTTCGCTGGCCTACATGAACTGGTCCGCCATTACACCAGTGAGCCCCGCCAGGACTCCCTCAGATGTGCCCCCAGGCCCCTTCACGTGTGCCCTAGCAGCCTGCCCCCCTCAGTGTCTCTCAGGGTTACCGTCCTCCCATTATTCACTGCACTCTTTCATTCATTCCTCCCGGGGGGTGGGGGTGGGGTGAGGTCCTCCTACCCTACAGCCGCAGGTGTCGGGTGACAGCCCCAAAACTCTCTGTCAATCCGTTTCTCCTACACGGGACTCGGTGAGGTGCAGGACCCAAGGCCCACCATATTGACAGCCCTCACACCTCTTCGGTGTCGCCACAGATGCTTCGGATGGGTTGTGCACGCGGTTGAGCCGTCCCTGCCAGACCCAGAAGCCCCAGAAACCGTGGTGGGAGGACGAGTGGGAGGTTCCCAGAGAGACGCTGAAGCTGGTGGAGCGGCTGGGGGCTGGCCAGTTCGGGGAGGTGTGGATGGGTGAGTGAGACTCACATGCCTTCCAGGGATGGGGGTGGTCGTGAGAGCCCCACATCAAGTGACCTGCTCCAGGGCAGCAGTCTGATTCCGAGTGCACCGGGTGCAAGTGGCTCCCCCAACCCCTCCTCCCTCAGGGTACTACAACGGGCACACAAAAGTGGCAGTGAAGAGCCTGAAGCAGGGCAGCATGTCTCCCGACGCCTTCCTGGCAGAGGCCAATCTCATGAAGCGGCTGCAACACCAGAGGCTGGTCCGGCTCTATGCCGTGGTCACCCAGGAGCCCATCTATATCATCACGGAATACATGGAGAACGGTGAGTTCAGGTTGCTCCAGAGTGCTGGAATTAGGCCTTTTCCTCTGGCTCAGCACACAAGTTTCTAGATGACCTTCCTGAACTTTTGAAGATGCATCCTTCAGGTCTTCTGGGGTGTGTCCTCTGAGGGCCAGTCTATGGTGGCAGGTTCTGGAAGAGCATTCACCTCTATCTTCCCTGACTTGCAGTCTAGTTTGCCTTCTTCAAATCCTTATCTTGATCTTAGGATGCTTGATCTTCAGAGAGAATGGGCTTCTAGCTTCATTTCTCTGACTTCCATCATCCCTGAGCCTTGGGAGGGCAAATCTACCTTAACCCATTTCCATGCAATCATTGGAACTCCTAACGAACCTATAGGCAGAGTACAATGGCCCCACAGGTTTCTAAGGCTGTAATCAAGAAGCAGCCCTGGTGGCACAGTGCTTAAGCTCTTGGCTGCTAACCTTAAGGTCAATAGTCTGAACCCAGCAGCTGCTCTACTGGAGAAAGATGTGGCAGCTTCCATAAAGATTTACAGTCTTGGAAACCCTGTGGGGTGATCCTATAGAGTTGCTATGAGTTGGAATCACTCCATGGCAATGGGAATCTTTATGGAAGCAGATGGCCACATCTTTCTCCCACTAAGCAGCTGCTAGCTCCTACTGCTGACTTTTTGGTTAGCAGTTGAGTGACAGACCACTGCACAACCAGGGTTTCTTAAATCTGCCCCAAGGCCTTCTTTTTCACTTCTGGGTGAGTACCTTCCCCCTTTCCCTCCCTTGGAAGAGGCTGTTACAGGAACTGTACTGTTAGGGAACTTGGGAAGGCAGTGACTGAGTTTCTAAGCTACACTTTGGTTTGCTGTGTGACTCAGACCCAGTCCATGTCCCACCTCTGGGCCTCAGTTTTCCCAACGATGTTGTTAGTTGCCATGAAGTTGATTCTGACTCATGGCGATCCCCTATATGAAGCTCCTATCATAATAGCAGAAAGTCTAAATGGGCTCACCCAGAAACAGTATCAAGTGGTCACTGAGGGCTCTAGAGTCTGACTGCCTGGATTAGAATCCTGTCTTCATGATTGTGTGGCCCTAGATAAAATGGTGATAATAATCAAGAGTGCCTTCCTGTTAGGGTCTGTGTGAGGGTGAGAGAGTTAATGCAGAAGAGTAGTCAGACAGTGCCTGCCATCTATCAGCTGCACAATACTTTTATTGTTTTTGTCTCGTTCTGATTTGTTGGGAATACAAGATCTGTCCCTCTTTCAGAAAGAGAAATGAGTTTATTGGCGAACAAGTTCTAAACATGGCAAATAGGTTCTATCATATGCGCCAACTTTAATTATTGGTAGTTGCTTGGAGAGTTGGGTTGAAAAGGATTCTGAGGCTCACTGGAAGTGAGTACTGTGATTAGCAACATCTGTCACAGATATAGTGGAGGAACGACAGCATATATTTTCTGCCTCTGGGTGAGCCCTTTGTCTGTAGTGACTAATCTAGTGTTAGTGGGGACACTTACGTATACCATCATCCTTATATAGGGTTTTAATCTTTTGGGAGGTGCCAGTGGTCACAAGCTTCATCCTAGCAATTTTCATCATGTTCTTCTTCCAGCCACCCTCCACCACTACTAGACATGCCCCTCAGGCCCCCAGGCCTCTTTTTCTATATACCGTTCAATCCTGTCAGTGCACGTTCATTGTGGCTTACCCTGGGCTGGGCACTGGATGAGTGAGCATGGTTTCTGCTGTCAGGGAAACCTGTTATATAGTAATGGGCATTGGGAAGACAAAGTTGATGCCACAGGAAAGTTCCAGCATGTCACAAGCATGCAGAAGATGATGCAGTTTTTTATGCCTGCCAGGATTAGAGTGGCCTCCTAGAAGGGCATTCTAGCTGGACCATGAAAGAAAACTGGAATTTTAGCAGGTGGAGATGGGTCAGAGACTTTAATATGAAAGCCCAGTGGTCTGAAGATGAAAAATATCATCAGTGTCCCTGAGCTGTAATGGTGGTGAATGTCTTGGTGTGTATGTTTTCACCATAATAAAAGTCAAAACAAAACAAAACAAAAAACCAATGGAGCACAGTTCTACTCTGACACATATGGGGTTGTCATGAGTCTTTAAAAAAAAAAAAAGCCCAGTGCTCTGTGTGCGAAGAATCTCAAACTTGTCTAGGGGGAGTGGAGTGGAGTGGAGTGAAGAGGCAGGGGTGGTGGAGGAGAAGAAACTACAAATGTGGACCATGTAGGACTTTGGATCCTGGCTGAGGGTTTTGGGCTTTACCCCACTGGTGATAAGAAGTCTATAAGATGCCCCATGCCAGCCTTCCAGAAAAGACCTTCACATATCATGGGCATCCTCATCCTGAGTACACAATCCTCCATTCTCACCCCCCACCTTCCTTTCCACGTGTCAGACCATGCTTCTAGACTCCCAGTTGGGGAAAAGGACTGATTGCCTCCCCGTCAGGTGTCTTGGGTGGGTTCTGTGAGAATATCTCTCCTCCCTCTGGCCCCTCTGCTCACTACTCATCTTTCTGCCCACAGGGAGTCTGGTGGATTTCCTTAAGACCTCCTCAGGCATCAAGCTGACCATCAACAAACTCTTGGACATGGCAGCCCAGGTAGGGAGGCTAGGGAATGGCTGGGCATGGGCACTGGCCAGTGTGTGAGAATGTCTAGCCCAGGACTGCTGACCTGCATGTGGCTTGCAGATCGCCGAGGGCATGGCGTTCATCGAGGAGCAGAATTATATCCACCGTGACCTGCGGGCAGCCAACATCCTGGTATCTGACACCCTGAGCTGTAAGATAGCAGACTTTGGCCTAGCACGCCTCATCGAGGACAACGAGTACACAGCCAGGGAGGGTAGGTGTGGGATCTGAGAGAGGTCTGTGGCCTGGCAGGTTCTGCTCAAGCACATCCAGGTAACCTCACTCTGCCTCCCGCCAGGAGCCAAGTTTCCCATTAAATGGACAGCACCAGAAGCCATTAACTATGGAACATTCACCATCAAATCGGATGTGTGGTCTTTTGGGATCCTGCTGACAGAGATTGTCACCCACGGCCGTATCCCTTACCCAGGTCAGGACCAAGGGCAGGAACTGGAGGGGGTGATGGGGAAGGCAGCAACCCATGTCTTTCCACTCTCCTCTTCCCAGGCTCAGAGTCTGAAACTTTCTAGCTGCTTCTTCCTTTTCTCAGGGGTGTGACTCCAGCATCCCTAAACAGCTGCTACATCTCCCAGAGCTGTCTTCCATCTCTGTCTCTGGATCTCTCCTCCTTCAATAACTCCAGCTCTTTTCTTTTGTTCTTATACAGCAGCCTGTTATGGTAGTAGATCTGGCCTGGGGGACAAAAGATCTGCCTTTTATTACCAGATCTACCACTGATGCTAACTTTCTCGTTGACTTTGAACTTATACTTCCTTCTTTCCTACTCCGTGCTGACTACTTACTGTTCTAAGTGCTTTATCTCTGTGAGGTATAATTGCAGAGTTGTTCTGAAACTTCAGTGAGATTGGAATAATGCCTGGCCCACAATAAGCAGTCAAGAGTGTTAGGTTTATTAGCAATCCTTACGACATGACGTTGGGCAAGTCACTTCACTTCTCTGAGCGTGTTTTCTCATATGAAAAGAGAAACTATCTGTGAAAGAGCCTGACTCAGAAACCCAAACCAGTTGCTGTTGAGTTGACTTTGATTCATGGTGACCCCATGTGTGTCAGGGTAGAACTGTGCTCCATAGGGTTTTCAGTGACTGATTTTCCAGAAGTAGGTCACTAGGCCTTGCTTCTAAGTCATCCCTGTGTGGACTCAACCTCCAACTTTTGGTTAGCAGCCAAGCACGTTAACCATTTCTACCACCCAGGGACTCCTGACTCATAGTAGGTGCTCACTAAATACTGTCTTCTCTTCCCTCTGAAGCTTTCCATCTAAAAAGGGAGAAACAAACCAACCCATTGCCACTGAGTCACCTCTGACTCATAGTTACTCTATAGGTCAGAGAAAAACTGCCCCACAGGGTTCCCACGGCTGTAATCTTTATGGAAGCAGGCTGCCACATCTTTTTCCCGTGGAGAGGCTGGTAGGTTCAAACTGCTGACATTTTGGTTAGCAGCCAAGCACTTAATCACTGTGCCACCAGGAAGAGAGAGAGAGAGACATGTAAACCACTAATTCTCACCCTCTATCACTCACCCTTCCCTTTATCTTCTGGACAAAGCTCTTCACCCCTTAATTCAGCCAAGACAAAGGTGGATTTTTTTTTTAAAGGAACTTGCTAGGAAGCTCTGGGGAAAGGAAATGGAACACCCAGACAGTAGTAGGGAGGTTGCAAAACATAGTGGTCACATGTGCAGAAACTTCTGACATCCCCAGAGCAATGAACAAAACTTTCTTCCTAGGAAGATAAGGGCACCTTAGCATCAGGTGAGAGGCCCAAAGGCCTTTCTTGTCCTGGACTTGTCAACCGTCACAGAGTCCATAGCTGGTTTAGGGCTGTAGCCACAGTCATCCCACCCAGAGCTTTTTCTGCTACTCCACTGTGCCATGAAGGCTAATCCATAGAGAATCTCTCTCTGCGAGGAAAAAAGGCAGTGACACATGATGATAAATGGCAACTGGCAAGTGGCTTCAGGGTCAGCTGACCTTGATGAACTTGCATGTGCTCCAGCAGATGGTTGCCATCAAGACATGTTGTTGTTGTTATGTGCCGTCGAGTCAAACCCGACTCATAGCGAGCCCTCCTTGGGTTTCCAAGGCAGTATCACTACGGAAGTAGGATTGCCCAACCTTCCTTCCGAGGAGTGGCTGGTGGGTTTGAACCACCAGCCTTCTGGTTAGCAGGCAAGTGTCTTAGCCACTATGCTACCAGAGCTCCTTGGGGGCCCAAAAAACAGACCTGGTTTTCAAGAGAAGCCAAAACTCAGAGTTTTAGAAAAATATACCCATTTCGATGTAGGAGATCCTGCATAAAAAGGGAGAACAATGTGGTACAAAACTCAAAATCATTTGGAGGCAAAAAAAAAAGAAGATGGGGACCAGGTTTGCTGGTCCAATAGAGCCTGGTGTAACCACTGAGACTATGGCCCCTAGCTGCCCTTCAGGTCTGGAATTGAACCCACAACTGTGGTTTCCAACCAACCAAAGTACAGGCATGTGAGTTAAACATTTACCTCAAGTAGACACACGCCCTGGAGAGAACAATCATGGGAGAAGGAAGGGCTGCTTATGCACAGGGAGATAGCTCAGGGTGCAGAAGAGTATGAAGGGATGGACACTGGGAGGAGGTAACTATGGGGAGGAAGTGGGAGGGGAGCTGCTGCATTGTAAATTTTGGTCAATGACATGAGACAAAGTATATGTGAACTGCTGTATGAAAAGTGAATTTACTCTGTAAATCTTCACCCAAATCCTAAAAAAAAAATACACCCATTTCTAAATACTGCTGATTGATTCAAATAGTTTAAAAACACTATGGGCCAAACCAATTTATGTGTGTGGGCTATATTTGGGCTGGGTTTGCCTCCTGGCCACCAGTTTACAACCTTGAGTCTAGCTAAGGGCATTTGGTTCCCTGGCCTATGTCTTCCAGTGTCCTGACTCTAGAATGTGAGGGACCCACAGTCAGAGGCCTCCCAGGGGCAGGGCCTTGAGAACCAGGGATTGTTATTGACCAGGGTCTAGTACCAAGCTTTGCAGGTTTGAAACTTTTATTTCACCAGGGCCATAGAAGGGTTTAGTCTTTGGTGACTGCCTATCACAGACTGCAGGAGAAACTGGAGGCCAACTGGGTAATTGAGAACCCTAGGCTGTGTTTTTGCTATGACCATGCAGATCTCCACAGCAGCACCTCTCAAGGTCTGCATGTTAGAAGCCTGCTAGAGGAGGGGCCGGGACCAGCACAAAGGGAGGGAATTGGCCCACCCTCTATTTGATCTGGGTCACAGAGGGGCCTGGTGAACTTTCTCTGCCCTATGTAGGGTCTGCTTTGCTGGAGCGCAGGACCCATCTGGCTTACTGATACAGCATCTCATGTCCCTGGTCTCAGCTCGAGAAACTCACCATTGTCCTATTTTGCCCAGAGTCCTAACCACTGCATCCTTCTCCACAAAATAATAATAATTCTAGCTACCCTTTCTGGAACATCTCCTATCCAGGCCCAGCACTTGGTGCTTCATGTGTATTACCTCATTCAATCCTGATGTAACAACCTTGTGAGCTAGGAACTACAATTTATTCCATTTTCCACCATGAGGAAACAGAGGCTGAAAGAGATGAGGTAGCTTGCTCAAGGTCATATAGCTATCATGTATGGGTTACTGAGTGCCACTCCAAGTCACATAACTGACATTTCAGATTGGTGCTCACGCCATGTCAGTTGTTAAATATTCTGAATGTTATCCCTGCCCCTGGGTTTCCAAAGCCTGGAACCTTGATGTTGTTTCTCCCTTCAACCTCCAGGGATGACCAATCCCGAGGTAATTCAGAACCTGGAGCGAGGCTACCGCATGGTGAGACCTGACAACTGTCCCGGGGAGCTGTACGACCTCATGATGCTGTGCTGGAAGGAGCGTCCAGAGGATCGGCCCACCTTTGACTACCTGCGCAGTGTGCTGGAGGACTTCTTCACAGCCACGGAGGGCCAGTACCAGCCCCAACCTTGAGGGGCCTAGTGGCCCTGGGGCCTGGAGCCCCCACACACACATCTAGCCACCTGCATTTCTCAGTCTGACTTGGGAAGATGGAGTTTTAGTGCTCTACCCATGTGGCCTGTGCACATAAGGACTCTGCACATGAATCCTATCCACCTGTAACACATACACATCTTGTCATTTGTATACATGTCCTGTACTTGTGTGGGCTCTTCACATGTATCTTATACATGTGTAGCCTGGGCATGTATGTCTTGGACACTTGTCCAAGGTGTCCCTTTTGGGGTTCTCTTACTTTCTGAGACCACGAGAGAGAGGACAAAAACCTGTGACTGACACCAGCATCTGGCCCCCCTTCCTTCTGCTTCCTCAGGTCATCAAGAAACTTCTAGAGGGCGGGGGTCTTGTCTAATACCTCTGTGTGCTCCTCCTCGGTGCCTGGCACACATTAGGAGCTCAATAAATGTCTGTTTGTTGATGAACATGGTATATCTCTCTGCTGCCCGCTTTCATCTCCTTGTCTTTGGGGTGGAGAGTAGGGGTTCAGAAAATGGAAATTGGGTCACCCTGAGAAGTTGACACACTGAGGAAGTGTCTGAACTTTTTTCCAGTCCTGGTAGTGCTGGGGACCAAGGGGAGCCATACTGGGGGCTCTGAGGGCCATACTCTTCTGTACTCTGCCAATTCCTTCAAATGGGACAGTTCTCATCACCTCTACCCCAAAGGATTCAGTTCAACCCCCACCTAGAATCTCCTCTGGAATGGGTGTGTCACAGGATCCTCTTCCTCCCATAAGGGCAATAGCATTTTTTACAGCTAGTAATTCAAGGGGTATGCCTGGCTTTGGATATGTTTTGATTCACCTTCATGATGTTTTTAAAAATTGAATTAGTTCATTCATTTAACAAATGTTTTTTGAACCTTTACTTTCTAGCCTCATAGGATATCTAGTTGATAAGACACACACACACAAATCTCTGCCTTTGTCAGCTTACATTCTAGTAAGAAAGATAATAAACACTAAATATCATAAAGAAGTAAATTATATTGTATGTTACAAGGTGGTGAGTGCTAGGAGAAAAAGAGAGCAGAGTGAGAGGGATTGGGAATGCAATGTTTGGGGGAAGGTTTGCCAGTGGTCAGGGAAGGGCTCATTGAACAAAGATTTGAAGGAGGTGAGGGAGTGAGCCACACAATGCATGCGGAAGGAGCATCTGCCAGAGGGAATAAATAGCCTGAGGCAGGCATTTATCTGACTTGTACAGACCTGTAATGGTGACCAGAGGAGTAGGAGTTAGATCCTAGGACCTAGGGCCTTGTGGTCTTTGCAGGAGCCTGTCTGGAGAGTCTGCAGGGATTTGTGCAGAGCTCCTTTGAAAAGGAGGGCTGGTAGTACAATAGTTAAGAGCAGGGCTGTGAACTGGCAGGTAAGTGATTCCAACCCACTCAGCCATTCTTGCAGGAGAAAGACCCGACAATCTGCTTCTGTAAAGATGACAACCTAGAAAACTCTACGGAGCAGTTCTACTCTATCACATGGAGTCACTATGAGTCAGAGTTGGCTCAACAGCAGCAACACATTTTAAAAGGATGGCACTTACTGCTGTATTGAGAATTGACTGCGTTAGCAACCAATTTATTAAACTGGGGAGATTTTGCATAAAACTCCAGGTTTCTGCTTTAAAAAAAAAAAAAAAAATAGGAAGATTTCACCACTTTGGGCCTCCCTGTCCTTATGGAGCTGAGTAGTGGCTACCTATGAGCTCTCCCTCCCTACTACTACAAGGCGATGAAATTGAGGGTTAATGTTTATCATCAGGCTCTGAGTTACTGTTCTTAAAATAAAGAGGAAAATGAATTTCTTTTTGGTATCCAAAACCAAACCAAACTCACTGCCATCTAGTTGATTCTGACTCATGGGTTTCCAAGGCAGTAAATCTTTACAGGAGTAGATTACCCAGTCTTCTTTCCACGGAATGGCTGGCAGGTTTGAACTGTCAACCTTCTGGTTAGCAGTCAAATGCCTTAGACACTACGCTACCAGAGCTCTTTTTTTGGTATCCACATCTCCATCAAAAAGTGAAAAAATTAAAGATACCCCAAGATGACAGTGTGTTTAAAGAAAGATGGGAAAAAAACATATTTCTTTATGAAAATGAAAAGTAGACCTATTTAAAAATATGCAAACAGAGCATCTTAGTAAAAATATATATATACATATATATATATGTGTGTGTGTGTGTGTGTGTGTGTGTATCCATTCATTTATATCACCTACCTGACCTCTGGCTGATAACCAAAAGGTTTCGAACTCACTAGCTGCTCTGCTGCAGAAAGACCTGGTGATCTGCTCCTATAAACATCACCATCTAGAAAGTCCTATGGGGCAGTTCTACTCTATGAGTAGAATTATAAGTATCTATGAGTCAAATCAATTCAATGGCACTGAACAAGAGCAATAATACCTGAGCCCTGTAGGCATCTGAGTTTGTGACCCCTGTTTATAAAATGCTGCCACACCCATGATTTTATCTAATCCTCACCCTCCTCCTGTTCTGGACATTGTGTCATAGAGATAGTGAACTTTTTATTATTATCCTCCCCATTTTACAATATTATTATCCTCCCCATTTTACAAAGAGGAAAGGTTAAGTAACTCACCCAAGAATAGCTAGGAAGTAGTAACACAGACCTGCTCCTTTGCTATTTTTATAGTACAACGAAAGGCCCAGTCTTAGTTCTCCTGTTACCTTTATAATTAATGTTCAAAAGCAGTTCCTAAGTGAGAACACATCTCTAAACACTCTTTCAGCTGTAAAGAGGCATAAAAATGTATTGTATTGACTGTAAGACCATGGGTAAATTATTTGGTTAATGTAATGTTTGGCACTTAGTGTAATGCTTGGTACATAGTAAGTAATCACTAAATATTAATGTTGTTGTAGTTGTTATTTTAATAGCCCACCTTAGTGTTTTTCAATCTTTGTTTTCAACAATGGCCAGTTGGTGATGAATTGATCTAATGCAATGGTTCTCAAGGGGAGTACGGAAGGGGTTTAACCTCTCTCTGCCCCAGGGACATTTGGCAATGTTTAGAGGCATTTTTGGTTGTCACTGTCATTTGGGGTGTGGTGGCATGGAGGATGTGACTGGTATCTAATGGGTAGAGGCCTGGGATGCTGCTAAACATCTGTCACGGATTGAATTGTGTCCCCCCAAAATATGTGTCAACTTGGCTGGGCCATGATTCTCAGTGGTTTGACAGTTATATAATGATATACCTTGGAAGTTAGGTAATGATGTAATCTTCCCTCATGATGTGATCTGATGTGATCAGCCAATCAGTTGAAAGAGGATTAGGGTGGGATATAACACACTCTCTCAGGTCACAATCTGAGGTAAAGGGAGTTTCCCTGGATTGTGGCCTGCATCACCTCTTATTATACAAGAGATAAAAGGAGAGAAAAGTAAGAAAACAAAGAGGGACCTCCTATCACCAAGAAGAAGAGTCAGGAGCAGAGCGTGTCCTCTGTACCCAGTGTCCCTGTATTGAGAATCTCCTAGACCCTAGAGCTCTGGTAGCGTAGTGCTAAACAGATGTTTAGCAGCATCCCAGGCCTCTACCCATTAGATGATTAACGGCAAGATACACGGAGATCTCCAACGAATGTCAAACCCCCAGATGTTGAAAGGAGACAAGGACCTTCCCCTACAGCCGACAGAGAGAGAAGCCCTTCTAGAACTGGCATCCTGAATTCAGACTTCTGGCCTTCTAAACTGTGGGGGAATACATTTCTGTGTGTTAAAGCCATCCACTTGTGATATTTCTGTTATGTATCTAAGATAACTAAGACAACATCCTACACAGGACAGCCCCCAACAACATAGACTTATCAAATACCGACTATCAATACCTCCAAGGTTGAGAGACCCTAATCTAGGTAAGAAGGCAATCTGGTTTACTCCTGCCTAAAACCAAATCTTGGCAAATCTTCTGGAAAAGACCCCTTTAAAGTGTTAAGGAGCAAAGATGTCACTTTGAAGACTAAGGTGCCCTCGGGGCCCAGCAGCAGTATTTTCAATAGCCTCATATGCAGGTGAAAGCTGGACAATGAATAAGGAAGATTGAAGAAGAGTTGATGCCTTTGAATTGCAGTGTTGGCGAAGACTACTGAAAAATACATGGACTGCCAGAAGAACAAACAAATCTGTATCTGTCCTGGAGGAAGTGTAGCCAGAACGCTCCTTAGAAGCGAGAAAAGCCAGACTTCAACTCACCTATTTTGATCATATTGTTAGAAGGGACCATTCCCTGGAGAAGATACCATGCTTGGTAAAGTAGAGGGTCATCGAAAAAGGGGAAGACCCTCAATGAGTTGGATTGACTCAGTGGCTGCAACGATGGGCTCAAGCATAACAAGGATTGTGAGGATGGCGCAGGAACAGGCAATGTTTCGTTCGGTTGCACATAGGCACACTGAGTCAGAGCCAACTTGATAGCACCTAACAATAACAACAAAACCAAAACACCAAACCAGTTGCCCTCAAGCGGATTCCAACTCATGGTAACCCCACGTGAAGATATTCCTTAATCCTCCGGGGTGAATGCATCAGGGAGGTAGGCTCTGGAGTCGGAAAGGCTAGGTTCTGTCCCTTGTTACATGTCTCTGGCACATAGCGGGTTTCAAAAAACCTATGTAATTTAAATTTAATTATTAATCATGTGACTCAGCAATTCACAAAGATTTGAACTTCATTATACTTATCTGTACAATGGGGATAAAAAGCCCTCCTCCAGAGCTGTTGTGAGGATTAACTGAGAAAAGATTTACTTCTCCCTCCTCTAAATCTGAGTTCTAACTCAGGTGCAGCCCCTTCCTTAGCTAGGTGACCTTGTGCAAGTCACTTTTCCTCTATGATGGTGTTCGGTGTGTCATCTAGTCAGTTCTGACTAATAAAGACCCTATGGACAACAGAACGAAATACTGCCCATCCTGTGCCATCCTCATAATCATTGCTATGTTTGAGCTCATTGTTGCAGCCACTGTGTCAATCCATCTTGTTGAGGGTCTTCTTCTTTTTCACTGACCATCTATCAAGCACTATGTCCTTCTCTAGGGACTGGTCCATCCAGATAACCACGTCCAAAGTAAGAAGTCTTGCCATCCTTGCTTCTAAGGAGCATTCTGGCTGCACGTCTTTCCTCTGTAGGCCTCAGTTTATTGTCTGTAAAATTACAAAATTTGCCTCTGATCTCCAAGCACTCTTCCAATGACCAAATGGGACAGTGAGGTTTACAGATCTGCTTTCCTCCCCCGGGACTAATGGTACGGTCCCCGGGTAGCTCCCCCACCCCCCTGCTGTGGACCTTGGTACAGGCCCAGGGGGCCCTCCGCTGCCTCTTAGGGCTGCCCTTGCCCCCTGCCGAGTTCCGGGCTTGTCCCTGCTCAAGCTGATTGGCTGGAGCGGTGCCCGGGCTGC